TCCCACTTTTTCAACATTACCTTCCTTGCCCATAAAAAGAATCTTAAATCCTTCAATTTAACTTATGTCTCTAAGCAATCAACATCTTTAGGAAGCTCTTCAGGAGCTCCAATAATACTCATATCATCAACATAATATGCGATCGTCACAAAAAAACTTGACTAAAACAAATTGAAGCAAGCAATTCTTTCATATCAAGAAAGATATTAACAAAACACACATCATAGAAACATATGAACTAGACAAAGCACCCTTATAAAACACTACTCATACTTTAAAGTAAATCACAACTCATAAATCAAGAATTTAAAATCCTTGAAGCACATAAAGACAACACAACTATATATGCACAATGCAAATGCTCTAATGACTATCCGGATTTTACCTTTTAAGGTCCATTCACCCTACTGTTGTAGGTGTTCACTTAGACGAGTATTTCACATTCGTCTATATTTTCTCAACCCACACAAGGGATTTTCTTAGTCTATCGATATATGTTCTCGAGAACTTTACTTGTTTACTTCAGGTAAATTAATCCTTCTAGGAGTTTCAAATATATATAACATCTTCAGGGAATTCAAACAAATAGGCTATCACAACAATTTTCAAACATTGATTTGAAAAAGTAGTTGCATCCACCACAGGGGAGTATAACTCCTCTTAAACAATGATAGGTCTCTTCGAGAAACCCATTGCAAAACATTATGTGATATCTCTCACAATTTCATACTTTCCAATAGCACAAAAATTTGTTTGTATCCCGCTAGTTTTGCCATTTTTTAGGTGCAAGGACTTCTGGTCCTTAAATTTTATGCTCCTTGAGCAAGTTTCATGATTTCTTTCTATATTGGTCAATAACATCATCATTTGCATGCATCAATAGAGTTTTACTCTTGATCCTCACTTGTACATATCATATTCAGTACTGAAGTACAACAAACAAATTTCATCGACAATTATTTCATTACGGTTCCAGTATTGTAGTCTAATATGGTTTTGAGATCTCTTCGCTTTCACAATTTTCAGAGACATGTGTTCTTCTGGAACTAAAATTATATTTTATTCTTGGTTACTTTTCTTGAGTTTTCATGTCCTCGAGTTGATCATTCTAATTACAGCTCCTTTTCTTTCTCGAGGATGTTTATCATTGGAACCGATTGGTCTATCACGCTTCATGCGCTCTTTCATACACATTTTTTTATATTAGAGTATCCAACAAGGATATCAAATTTAGTTGGAGCATTCACAGCTAGTATATATGACTTGGTCACTTCGTATGGCCAGTAAAGGCATTTGATAGTTGGTAATGATAATTCATCTTATGAACTTCAGGTTCATGTTTCTTAATTTGAGGATCAAAACTAGACAATGGTAACTCATTCCAACTCATCTCTTTGCCTAGCTGTTTTTTTTCTCTCCCCCTTAATGTTGGAAAAGTAATCCATCAAAACAATATTTCGCAAACAAATTTCCCATTCGGGATTCATACCCAACACAAATTCTCAATTTCCAACGAGAATCCACTTAAGATACTGTGGTGGAGCAATTGGGATGTATGCGGCACACCCTGGTATTCTCATATGAGAAATATTAGGTTTCTTACAAAAACCATTTGTAAAAGGGGGGAACTTATGATAACTTGTTGGTTAGATGTGAACCAATACTATCACTTTCCAGCTAGCATGTCCTCGACAAGAGACCAGAAGGCTCAGTTTGTTCTCTTAAGCAAAGTGATGTTTGATTGGATAACCATAAAAATGTATCCATAGTGAGGCAACCAATCTCGCAAACATCGGGTTGCGATTAGATAAAATACATCCCCAGATACCTGCTTCTTCTCCGGTCCGGAGGGGTTACGAGCAGTTGCTCATGTGATCATCCATTTGATGTAGGAACTCATAAAATTCACAAATGATCCACATGACTGATGTATTGTTCTGCATACACGTCCATAAAACCTCAAGAGATTTCCCAACTCTTATACAAGCGATGATCAATTGTTCTATTCTCCTTGAGAACAAACATGACATAATAACTCTTTTAGTTGAAGAGTTCTTTGACTTCTCATATGATGTTCTCATGAATTCTCAAAGAACTTTTTTTCACATCAAGATCCGGGATGGTCTAACCGGACCAACCAATTATCAAGTTATCAAATCTTGTAAACTTCTGGTTTACACTTTTATGTGTACTGATTGTACTAATATACATGTAGTACATATTTGTGATGCAAATATTAGTTTCACTATTTTCTTGATAAGATATTCTTTTTACGAATATCCTTTTAATTGGGTAATGCATCATCACTAGGTAGTTTGGTTCCTTCAGGCCACAAAATTAGCTCCCTTTAAAGCTTTATCATATTTTGTACCATATTTCACCCTTCCGGGGACTTATGATTTGATGCATTCTTAGTAAACACAAATTCATAGTGAATATCATCACAAATTGTTATCACGAGTACATAATTTAGTTACTTCAGGTAACCAAACATAAGCTCTTCAGAAGTTTTTTCTTATTTATGTACTCTACCATATAGTATATATGCAATTTTTCTAATACTCATACTTTATAAAAACATAATAAAAGTAATAAATGAGAATATTTCAAACTTAAGATAAAATTGATGAATTTATCAAGTTAATTGTTCTAGATAAAGGTTATAAAAAATTATGCATGAAAAATAACGTCACAATAAAACATAAAAGAAATAAGAATCATAATACTACAATTATGAAAATTAAATAAGATTTATTTGGAACAATACCATCACTAACTAGATGATTTTAAATTTATATATGCGTTTCATTATACATTATAATGTACAACAGGTACATTATGTTATCATGACTTTGATAATGCAATTATGGTGTCATCCTTATTTATAATTCTCCTTTTTCTCCTCTTTTCTCACTTCTGGTGAAGATATCCATACAATACATTTATCATATATATAATTATGTTTATAGTTTCATTCACTTAGGGGAATCGATTATTTCATTCACTTCTAGGAATGAAAATGTCTCAAGTGCAATATCATTTTCATCTTTAATGGAGAATATACCAACTTATAATACAAAAAATATGTTCCATAATATTGATATTGCATCAGCATATTTGAATTTGCTCTTCCCTTTGATTCTTGATAGAATAAAGTCTTTTGCGTACAACGGGTACGAGACAAATGCACTTTTCCATTACAATGGTAACATACAAAACCAGTATTATGGTTACCATGTCCACTTCTTTCTTTGCCCTTGGATTCTTCAATTTCCACTTCTGGGGAATATAACTCATCACTTATATTACTTTTCTTGTTAATCCATATAGATCGACGTGATAAAATATCAATGGATATGAGAAGTAGCACCCATCTTGATATATTAGAAAGGGATAATCTCAACACAAATAAGACAATACGATAAGAAAGGATCTAAGAAATACATACCTTGATCATATTGTGATCTTACTCCAATATCTTAGATTACGTCGAGAGTCTTTGAGGCTTGAGCAATGATAATTTTGGCAGAGCTTCGTGCTGATAACGTGTTATGAAACTAATGGAAAATACAAACAACTACAAGAGAAGATTAGAGAGGGAAATACACAAGAGAAGAGAGGGGAAGAGTTCTTCTTATTCATTCTCCACTTTTGATACAATAATATGCTCTATTTATAGGCACACTTTTGTAACCACTACATCCTTATATCAATGCATATGAATAAGAGATAATAATGTAGGAATAGGGGTTACATGTAACTCCTAAGTGAGCATCTAATGTGGTAATGGCAATGGTCATCCATATATCAATATTTACATAATATTTACTTGCTTCCCTGCAAGTAAAAAATATTGGGAACGAGCTTGCTAATAGTTGTGGGTGGAGAACGATTCTGGACCAGGTCTTGCTAGCTCTGGACCAAAGAAAGGGCCTTTGAGCCCACTTATCATCATCAAGCCCACTTTCAAGATGCCTCAGCAAGTTTTTGTAAACAGCTCCGCACTCAAATAACGTTCGGCCCATGACAATCGTCCCATGCTAACCAGATCAATGAATCCTTTAGTTCTGTAGTTTCAACGGCAGGAAGACAGCTCGCTTTGTTTCAGATAGTCGATTTGAATTCCACGAATTTATGAATCTGTGTATTCCGCTAATCTTTCATAGAATTTGTGCCGAAAGCGAGTGCTTTTTTGTTGGGAACAGGTGGTGTTAGTACTTAGTAGTGGACCTATCGTAAAGTATTTTCACGCAAGGAAATGATGCTCTACCAAAAGAAGAAAACGTGGGGAATTTGAGTTCACAGAATTCTATTCTCAGTGATATTCAAGGGAACCCACCTTCAACACACACTAGCACTAAGGCCTTAGAGAGAATATATTGAAGTAGATCCAACCAGATGTGTAATGGACTTGTTCCTTTTCTTGGACCGAGTGGACCGAGTGGAAGGTTTGTCATCATATCCTTTGAGAGTTCAAAAGTTCGAAACCGACAACCAATAACAAAGTCACAAAGACATCAACAATCAAGTGTGTTGCGGCATGTAAAGGATTAGAGGTTCATCTTTACATGGCGACTTTGGTCTTAAATTCAATTCTTGGAAAACTTTTTCCAAAGGATTTAGACCCGAAAATCTTCCTTAGATTGTAGTACACGTCTTGAAATCAATCTCAAACAATGCATATATGTTGAGTTTTCATGATCAAGGAGCCTACTATGAAGAAACTTCTTTCCTTCGTAGCCAGCTAGCAACTCCCAAAGTTGTGAACTTGAAATCGTCGAAATAATCTTGATGTATGTGTCAAAATTAGGAGCAAAATGTACCCGAATGTCCAGATTCAAATGTACCCGAATGATCACAATGTAAAAGTTCAGGAGCCAATCTAGTAAAGAAAAATAGAAGTAGGGCAGAAAACAAAACTTTTCCACAAGGCCTAAACTCCGAGGGAATATCCAACGGCCAGGATCAAAGCGCATGAGGATTTCATTAACCGTGGTAAAGTCGGAGAGAGTTGGGCTAACCTAAATCCTATAAAAGAGGAATTTGGCTTTACAAGCAGGAGAAAAGTCGCCGTCCTTCTCCCTCAAATCCCTCCAAATCCTCGCCGTTACACCGAGAGAGAAATCCGTCGAGCAACTATGTCGGACGAGGAGCACCAGTTCGAATCCAAGGCTGATGCCGGTGCATCCAAGACCTATCCTCAACAAGCGGGTACTATTCGCAAGAATGGGTACATCGTTATCAAGAACCGCCCTTGCAAGGTCAGTATCACATCCATCCTTTACGATTGTTAAATCTGTGACCTTTTCTTGATCTGGGTTTGCGTTTTTTTCATTGGATCTTTGATGGGTTATTCTCTGATCTTTTATTGATCGGTGATACTGATGAGACTGATGGATTGATTCATTGTCACTCGTTGTTCTTTCTCTGCAGAATAGCTTAGGTTTTGTTTATGTATTTTATGGGCTGTTAATGGTGATTTGCTTAGCTGATTGGCAACTATTTGTATTTGGAGATGAAATTTTCGTCAGCCGGTTACTGTGATTTCAATTGGAGTTTGGTTCTTATCGGATATGGTGAAGAATTGAATGGAATATAATGGAACGGTCGTTAATAGTAATACAGAACTGTTTGGGGATGATAGAAGTCACAACCTTTTTTCCTTCAGAACTGTGTTTTTGTGATTCATTAATTGGTGTCTTTCTTCTTGGATTGTTTTGCTTTCAAACAGGTTGTTGAGGTTTCCACCTCAAAGACTGGCAAGCATGGCCACGCTAAGTGTCACTTTGTAGCCATTGATATCTTCAATGGCAAGAAGCTCGAGGATATTGTTCCTTCATCCCACAATTGTGATGTAATTTTGCAGTTCCTCTGCTGGTTCCCTATACGTCTTTTATATATGTGTGTTGTGTGCAACTCTTGATTGAAGTAGGTTGATTTTGATTTTCGCTTTACAGGTTCCACATGTCAACCGTACCGATTATCAGCTCATCGACATCTCTGAAGATGGCTTTGTAAGTTCCGATTGAGGTTGCAAAAGTTTCATGCTTTTGTATCACTTGAACACGGGATTTCCAGTACTTGCTTTGTTGTTGACTTCACTGAGATTTTAGCTAATCTAGTTGCTTTTTTCACTTGAAGGTGAGTCTTCTGACTGAAAATGGAAACACCAAAGATGATCTGAGGCTTCCCACTGATGAGGCTCTGCTTGCTCAGGTAAGAATAAAATTTAACCCTCCTTTTCCAGCAGCTTGTTATTTCTTTTGTATGGCTTTTTTCGCAGCTGTTGGAGTTTATAAACTGAACTCTCTGTTGGTTCTTGTTTTTCGATCAGATTAAAGATGGGTTTGCAGAAGGTAAGGATCTCGTGGTGTCGGTCATGTCAGCAATGGGAGAGGAACAGATCAATGGTCTCAAGGACATTGGCAAGAACTAGAGGAAGAAGATGATGCTGTAGCATTTTAGCTATAGTTGATTGCAAAACGACTGTTTTTTTATGGGAGCTAACGATGATTCTTATCTCTACTATGAATGTCTCTGAACTAGAACTTCCTTTTTTTTTATCAAGAATGTGTTGGTTGTGGTGTTTGAGAAAAAATGCTCATAATGTTTGTTCTTGAAGTTGTTAGAAAGAAAAGCCAGGTCAAGCAGCTGCCGCTTGATTTCCTGATGATGATCTGTTCTTAAGTTGGATGTGCTCATATATGTACATGGTTTGCCTAGCCATTTTAGGACCAAGTAGAGGCCTAATCGTTCGTGATTGAGCCTTTACTCTTTAGGTCCCGTATGCCCACTCGCTCTCATGCTGATGGTAAATGTTAGTTCTGTACTTTGCTGCAATTTGGAACAGATAAGTTGCAACAAATCGGTAAGGACTGGTTGGTTCAGTCACTAGTACGTGGGTCTACTTGGTAAAAAAGTGTACATCTCTGGTGATATGTGAAGATAGAAAGCAGAGGTTACATTCTGCTTCATTTCACAGATCGATCTTCATGAGCTATTTGTACGAGTTCATCCATGATACAATGGGATGATAGATCAGGGCTTATACTAGAAGATGCAACAATCCTCCAATCTTATATACACAGTAGAGTTTTGTCTACTTTTCTCTATTTCAAATTTCCAGCAAGAGTGAGTGTAGGAAGAACAATTTGGTCTTTACAATTAATTGTTTATTTCATATAAAAATGTTAATATCAGAATTTGAACACCGGTCTCTTCAAACAAAGACAACAATCACAACCAATTATACTAAATAAATTTGTTGTATTTTTTTGAATACAAAACATAGACGAAGTTAAACTCTGAGAATATGAGGACTTTTCCAACATGATTAGCAAGCCCACTAAGTCTACCGTATGTAGTATTCAATTTAAATATAAATTTTGTGTCTTTTTTTTTTATCTTTGTTCTTCTCTCTTTCTAACTTTCTCCGAAATTCACTACAGCGTGCAATAGTTTGCGCCCCTTTCACTTGCCAGTACAAGGCCGTCTTTGAAAATTAATCTTCCGGTATGTCTTGGCACTACAATTTTATTGATGGGCATTTAAGCTGGGCAAGTAGAAGATGTCAACTCTGATATCAATCCGAACAGAATCGAGTTCAATAAATGGAGTTGCAGAAGGAGGATTAGAAATTGGTTTTTTGGTTGAAACATATGCCTCTTGAAATTGATGATAGAGTGGATAAAATTTTGGTTGTACGACAAAGGGTGGTGGCTATTGGATCTTTAGGTTTATGATTTTTGCATCTATCACAACCTATTTCTATCTTAAAACGAGGAACCATTGATGGATTAATTTGGGCGGATTTATTCGATCAATTTTTGGCAGATTCCAAAGGGGTACCATCACAGATTTCGAGCGATTTTTCCGAAATGCCATTTTCTTTCGTTTTTGGGGGCTACAGATCACGGAATCAGGTTGTGGCTATTCTCCACCGATAATGAAGTATATTGATCCTACTCTCCACGGATGATAAGTCCATTAAGCATCGATTTGGGCCAATTTATTTTTGGATGACATTTTCCTGTTTTTTTGGGCGACGAAAGGCCATTTTCTTTGGATATTGAAGGCTACAGCTCACGGATTCGCCCTAAAGCTATTTTTCAACGATGATTGAGTCCATTAAGCACCGATTTGGGCGGATTTATTCCGGGTCAATTTTTGGCAGATTCCAAAAGGGGTATCATCACAGATATGGGGCGATTTTTCCGAAATGTCGTTTTCTTTCGATTCTGGAGACTACATATCACGAAACCGGGTAGAGGCTATTCTGCACCGATAATGAAATCTATTGATCTTATTCTCCACGGATGATAAGTCCATTAAGTACCGATTTGGGCCAATTTATTTTCGAATGACATTTTTGTAATTTTTTGGGCGACGAAAGGCCATTTTCTTTGGATATTGAAGGCTACAGATCACGGATTCAGCCTGAGGCTATTCTCCAACGATGATTGAGTCCATTAAGCACTGATTTGTGCTGATTTATTCCGGGTCAATTTTTGGCAGATTCCAAAGGGGGTACCATCACAGATTTCGGGCGATTTATTCGAAATGCCATTTTCTTTCGATTCTGGAGGCTACAGATCACGGAATCAGGACGATGCTGTTCTCCACCGATAATGAAGTCTGTTGATCCTATTCTCCACGGATGATAAGTTCATTAAGCATCGATTTGGGCCAATTTATTTTCGGATGACATTTTCGTAAATTCTTGGGCGACGAAAGGCCATTTTCTTTGGATATTGAAGGCTACAGATCACGGATTTGACATGAGGCTATTCTCCAACGATGATTGAGTCCATTAAGCACCGATTTGGGCTGATTTATTGCGGGTTAATTTTTGGCAGATTCCAAAGGGGTACTATCACCGATTTCGGGAGATTTATACGAAATGCCATTTTCTTTCGATTCTGGAGGCTACAGATCATGGAATCAGGCCGAGGCTATTCTCCACCGATAATGAAGTCTATTGATCCTATTCTCCACGGATGATAAGTCCATTAAGTACCGATTTGGGGAAATTTATATTCGAATGGCATTTTCGTAATTTTTTGAGCGACGAAAGGCCATTTTCTTTGGATATGGAAGGCTACAGATCATGAATTCGGCCTGAGGCTATTCTCCAACGATGATTGAGTTAGTTAAGTACCGATTTGGGCTGATTTATTCCGGGTCAATTTTTGGCAGATTCTAAAGGGGTACCATCACAAATTTCGGGCGATTTATACGAAATGCCATTTTCTTTCGATTCTGGAGGCTGCAGATCACGGAATCAGGCCGAGGCTATTCTCCACCGATAATGAAGTCTATTGATCCTATTCTCCACGGATGATAAGTCCATTAAGCACCGATTTAAGCCGATTTATTTTCGATGGCATTTTCCAAAATTTTTGGGCGACAAAAGGCTATTTTCTATGGATATTGAAGGCTACAGATCACGGATTCGGCCTGAGGCTATTCTTCTACAATAATTAAGTCCATTAAGCACAGATTTGGGCGGATTTATTCTAGGTCAATTTTTTGCAGATTCCAAAGGGGTACCATCACAGATTTCGGGCGATTTTTCCGAAATGTCATTTTCTTTCGATTTTGGAGGCTACAAATCACGATATCGGGTAGAGGCTATTCTCCACCGACAATGAAATATATTGAACCTATTCTACACGGATGATAAGTCCAATAAGCACCAATTTGGGTCAATTTATTTTCGAATGACATTTTCATAATTTTTTGTGGGACGAAAGGCCATTTTCTTTGGATATTGAATGCTACAAATCATGGATTCCGCATGAGGCAATTCTCCAACGATGATTGAGTCCATTAAGCACCGATTTGGGCTGATTTATTCCGGGTCAATTTTTGGCAGATTCCAAAGAGGTGCCATCACAGATTTTGAGTGATTTATCCGAAATGTCATTTTCTTTCGATTCTGGAGGCTACAGATCACGGAATCAAGCTGAGGATATTCTACACCGATAATAAAGTCTATTGATTCTATTCTCCACGGATGATAGGTCCATTAAGCACCGATTTAAGCCGATTTATTTTCGGATGACATTTTCTTAATTTTTTGGTCGACGAAAGGGTATTTTCTTTGGATATTGAAGGCAACAGATCACGGATTCGGCCCGAGGCTATTCTTCAACAATAATTAAATCCATTAAGCACAGATTTGGGCGTATTTATTCTGGGTCAATTTTTAGCAGATTCCAAAGGGGTACCATCATAGATTTCGGGCGATTTTTCCGAAATGTCATTTTCTTTTAATTTTGGAGGCTACAGATCACGATATCGGGTAGAGGCTATTCTCCACCGATAGTGAATTCTATTGAACCTATTCTCCACGGATGATAAGTCCAATAAGCACCGATTTGTGCCAATTTATTTTCGAATGACATTTTCGTAATTTTTTGTGCAACGAAAGGCCATTTTCTTTGGATATTAAATGCTACAGATCACGGATTCTCTCTGAAGCTATTTTTCAACGATGATTGAGTCCATTAAACACCGATTTGGGCGGATTTCTTTCGGGTCAATTTTTGGCAGATTCCAAAGGGGTACCATCACAGATTTCGAGCGATTTATCCGAAATGCCATTTTGTTTCAATTCTGGAGGCTACAGATCACAAAATCAGGCCGACGCTATTCTCCACCGATAATAAAGTCTATTGATCCTATTCTCCACGGATGATAAGTGCATTAAGCATCGATTTGGGCAAATTTATTTTCGGATGGCAATTTCGTAAATTCTTGTGCGTCGAAAGACCATTTTCTTTGGATATTGAAGGCTATAGGTCACGGATTCGACATGAGGCTATTCTCCAAAGATGATTGAGTCCATTAAGCACCGATTTGGGCGGATTTATTCTGGGTCAATTTTTGGCAGATTCCAAAGGGGATTTATTCTGGGTCAATTTTTGGCAGATTCCAAAGGGGTACCATCACATATTTCGGGCGATTTATCCGAAATGCCAATTTCTTTCGATTCAGTCTACAGATCACGGAATCAGGCCGAGGCTATTCTCCACCGATAATGAAGTCTATTGATCCTATTCTCCACGGATGATAAGTCCATTAAGCACCGATTTGCGCAATATATTTTCGGATGACATTTTCTTAATTTTTTGGGCGACGAAAGACCATTTTCTTTGGATATTTAAGGCTACAGATCACGGATTCGGCCTGAGGCTATTCTCCAACGTTGATTGAGTCCATTAAGCACCGATTTGGGCTGATTTATTCCAGGTCAATTTTTGGGAGATTCCAAAGGGGTACCATCATAGATTTCGTGTGATTTATACGAAATGCAATTTTATTCCGATTCTAGAGGCTACAGATCACGGAATCAAGCCGAGGCTATTCTTCACCGATAATAAAGTCTATTGATTCTATTCTCAACGGATGATAGGTCCATTAAGCACTGATTTAAGCCGATTTATTTTCGGATGGCATTTTCTTAATTTTTTGGTCGAGAAAAGGGTATTTTTTTTGGATATTGAATGCTACAGATCACGGATTCGGCCTGAGGCTATTCTTCAACAATAATTAAATCCGTTAAGCACAGATTTGAGCGGATTTATTCTGGGTCAATTTTTAGCAGATTCCAAAGGGGTACCATCATAGATTTCGGGCGATTTTTCTGAAATGTCATTTTCTTTTGATTCTGGAGGCTACAGATCACGATATCG